CCAGCCCCATCCCTGCCTGTCCCCTCTCACCCATCCCTGTGCCCCGTCCCCATTCCTGTCTCTCCCCTTTCCCATCCCTCCCTGTCCCCACTCCCCATCCCTGCTGTTCCCACTTACCAATCCTTGTCTGTCCCCTCTGTATCCCTGTCCTTGATCGCCATACCTCACCCATCCCTGCCTCTCTCACATCTGTCCCCATCCCCCTTGTCCATCTCTTCCTGTCACCTCACCCATCCCTGCCTGTCCCTCTTCCCCCTCCCTGTCCCCTCAGCTTCACCCAGGCCTGTCCTCCTTCCCCATCCCTACCTGTCTCCCCCTCGATCCTTGTCCTCCTTCCCCATCCCTGTCTGTACCCTCCAATCCCTACCTCCCCTCCCCATCCCTGCCTGTCCCCTCTCCATCCTTCTCTTCCTCCATCCCTGCCTGTCTCCCCAAACCCTGTCTTCCCTCCCCTCCCTGCCTATCTCCCCCTACCCTCGATTCTTGTATTCCTTCTCCATCCCTGCCTGGCCCCCCAATCCCTGTCCACCCTCCATCCTCGTCCTCCTTCCCCAGCCCTGCCCGTGCCCTCCTCATCCTGTCCCTTCCCCAGCCCTGCCCGTGCCCTCCCTGTTCCCCCTGGCCCACCAGCAGTTGAGGCGGCGGACACCGTCGAGCGCAGCGGCCTTGGCCTGCCGGAGCACGGCCACCCGGCTCAGCCTCATGCCGAGCCGGACCGGGTCGGGCCGGCTTCCAGGGGCGGCTCCGGCCGCCCTCAGGCTCCGCCCGGCCGGGGCGGGCTCCGGAGCGCCGGGGATGGAGTTACCGCTTCCTCCGGGAATCGATGTACCGCCTCCTCCGGGGACGGAGCGGCCGTCTTCTCCGGGCCTGGTACGTCACCCTAGGGCCCCACTCGGGCCTGGCTGGGCCCGGCCCGGCCGCGCCAACGGCAGCAGTTTGAGTTATTTAGTCATGTTTACGTGTAAATCCGATTAGTCGTTTAATTATATCTTGTTCAGAGCATGGTTTGTATGTACAGCTGTGTCTTTATGGGTGTATATTTGTATTATGGAGTTATCATGGAGCGGTCTGGGTTGGAAGGGACCTTAAAGATCGTCTCATTCCGACCTCATTCCAACACTTTCCACTAGCCCAGGTTGCTCCAAGTCCCATCCAGTCTGGCCTGGAATGCTTCCAGCGATGGTGCAGCCACGGCTTCTCTGAGGAGCCTGTGCCACGGCCTCACCATCCTCACAAGGAAGAATTTTTGCATAATATCCCATCTAAACCTACTCTTTTCCAATTTAAAACTCTTCCCCCTTGGCATAACACACGTGAATGTGTAAATTTATATCTGACTTTACACATACATCCCCCATATCTCCCTATATATCTATACATGTGTGAAGTGCATCCCTACATTTCTATATGGATGAAGCGTATTCCCATGTATGAAGTGTATCCCTACATCTACATATGAGTGAGGTGTGCATAAATAAAATACATCCACATTTTCTGAAATAAATATTTCTCACTGGGTTCTCCTCAGTCAACTCCTAAACGTTCCAAAGGGTGATAGTTCAGCCCTTGAAAATACATTTTTACAAATAAGAGTTAAAGACTCTTTCAGGAATGACTAATGCAGTTTCTTACTGCTCTTATCCTGTGGGGCAATAAGAAAACTAAGGCTCACCTTTGAACCAAAGTCGGGAGTCAAGCGGCTCAGGACTTGTTCTTACAGAGCCAAAGTCCTTCAGGAATCCAATCCTGAACTGCTGGGATTCTACACCACCTTACGATACAGTTTGTATCTTCAAGGGTGTAACAGCAGCTTCAGTGATTGATTGGGAGAGCTGGAATAAAAAGGCCTGGAGAAATGGTGTGGTTAGCAAAGACAGTAAAAGAAAAAGGCATTAATGCAATGTTTCCCAGTGTTTTTCCGTGTGTTTCCACCTTATCCAGCACCAGGAACAACTGTGGGATGGGGGCTGGTGGGTGATTGGTTGGTTGTGCTGGTCTTCGGGTGCAGCAGTGCAAATGGAAGGGATCAGGAGTGTGGATGTGGCACTTGGGGACATGGTTTACGAAATCACAGAATCCCAGAATCACTGAGGTTGGAAAAGACCTCCAAGATCATCAAGTCCACCCTGTGCCCAACCCCCACCTTGTCCCCCAGCCAGAGCACTGAGTGCTACAGCCAGGCGTTCCTTGGACACCCCCAGGGATGGGGACTCGACTATCTCCCTGGGCAGCCCCTGCCAATGCTTAAAAACTCTTCCAGTGAAGAAATTTTCCCCAGTATCCAATCTGAACCTCCCTTGGCACAGCCTGAGGCCATTTCCCCTTGTTCCATCCCTTGTTCCCTGGGAGCAGAGCCCAACTTCCCCCGGCTCCCCTGTGATGGTTTGAACCTGGCTCCCTGCCAAATGCCCGAAAGTTACGACAGCAGCCCCCGTCCCCCCTCCTTTCTTTCCTTAGGTTAAAGGAAAAGAAACTATAAAAATTAAAGAACTCAAAGTCAAGTTGTTTATGTAAAAATATATCTATATTTACGTAAATTACAGTTATGTACAGTTAAGATGCTATATACACAGTAAAAGGGGGTCCACTCCCCGAAGGGATAGAGAAAGGGAAAAAAGGGGACGAAAGGGAATAAAAGGGACACCGAACAGGTATACTAGATCAAACTCAAGAACTATACTGATAACTAACAAAACAGATTTCACTACGTCTCTTAGAACAGCAGGATTGGCAGTCACTGCTAGCACTTTCCAAACCTCCACGTGGCAGGACGGTGGACTCTGCAGGCCTCAGCTTTAGATAAGCGAGACCAACGCAGGGACTCACTCTTCCCAGACCTCGCCAGAAGAGAAGAGAGAGCGGTTTTTAATCTCCGACTTATTTATACTCTGGTTTACGTAAAAATTGTATGGAATACTGGATACTTGACTACTTCCTTAATTATAAACTAATCACCAAGAAAACCTAGACTAAAACCATCACATCCCCCCTCCTGTCAGGAAGTTGCAGAGCCAGAAGGTCCCTCCTGAGCCTCCTTTTCTCCAGGCTGAGCCTCAGCTGCTCCTGCTGCTCCCTCAGCTGCTCCTGCTGCTCCAGCCCCTTCCCCAGTTCCATTCCCTTCCCTGCACACACTCCAGCCCCTCAGTGTCCTTCCTGAACTGGACACAGAACTCGAGGGGCCTCAGCTGTACCCAGTGCAGAGGGACAGTCACTGCCCTGGTTCCGCTGCCACACTATTTCTGATATGGGAAATGGGTTGGCACTGAGCTCCCTTCCCTCCTGATTGCCACACTCCTGGATAAGGGAAGGGCTGAGCAAGGTGTCTACTGGGATCAGTGGGCATGAACTTTTCAGGAAAAATGTGGATAAGTGGGTTAGGCAGATCATCCCACTTCATTTCCCTCCTCTCTCAGCACTGGGCTGCTGTCACACCCACGGACAGCCAGGACCCTGGGCTGGGGGCCAGAGCACAGGGGGTGCATGAGATTTTAGAGCTGGATACACACACTTGGAGACAAAGGGAGCAAATTTTGGGAATTCCTGGCGTTTGTGTACACAGCTGTCCACAGCCCAGCTGGCAGGAAGTGCCTCTGAGACTCAGGATCTGGGCGCCTGGCTGTGTCTCAGTGAGGGCACAGGATCCGAGGGACTCCAATGTCCATGGCATTGCAATACTTTTGTTCTCCAAATCCCAGGTTGTTTTCACTTCCAGTGGAACAGGGAAACACCTGAGCATGTTTTCAACCACTCAGCTGTGCAATCCCAACCCCAGCCGTGCTTTGCTGCCCTATCGGCAGTGAAGCCTGTCCCTGAGACAGGTTAAGGAGATTGAGGAATCTTCTCTAGATCCCACGGAGAGATTTTTGTGCTCATCCTGCTGGCAATAGCCCAGGTCAGTCAGTTTAACTGTCTGCTCTGACACTCTCCTGGGACTGAGCCATGCACAAATGTTTGTTTCATTCAGGTTAATTAAATAAAATCAATTTTATTCCCAAGTTTAATACTGCAAAGTAGCATCAATAATCACCTCAGGCAAACCTCCTCCCTGGTCTTTTCAAAGGGGAGAGGTTAAATAATGTGTATCAACTTGTGAAGGGCATGGAGAGAGGGAGAGAACCCCTGAGGTCTGGGACAACGTGACCTCGTCAGGATCACCTACAATCCATGGCACATCTGTGTCCCACTCGCAGCCCTGGATCTTTCTGTGCTCCTAGATTTTTCAGTTTATCCAATCTTTCAGTGTTCCAGAGCAGGGATGGATGAAGTTCCACCTCACTCCCTAATTCCTGGTGGTGGATTGTGGTCACTTCTTGGGTCTGTGGGAGCAAGAGGGCAAAAAGCTCTTCACACACTTGAGGTCATATCTGGAGTATCTTCAGTCAGGTCTGCACCATGTGGCAGCCACACATTCCCTTTCCAGCTCTATATCAGTGTTTTATATAATGAGCCCATTATCACTTGTTTAATTGCTTTGTGGAGGACCAGGAAGGCTATTTATTGCACATAACCCTCGTATGTATTTTCTCCCTTCAGAAAAGCTCTCATTTCTGACCGGAACAGTTGCTGTGATCCGTGATTGCTCCATGCAGGGTCTCATAGCTCACTTGTGATTCCTACAAGAGCTTTAGAAGGAAGTGTTGGAACCCCTGAGCTTCTTGGCTACTGAACCGAACATTCCCTGGATGTGGTGTGGGATTGCTGTTGGGGTGTGAGTCACACAAAGGGAATATGAAATGATAGTGGTGACCTGCCGGGAGCAGCCACACCTCCACAGCTCTCCCTGTTTGTCACCATCACTGATGAGGTGTCTACCATCATGGAATCATAGAACCATGGAATATCCTGAGCTGGAAGTGACCCACCAGGATCATCCAGTCCAACTCCTGGCCCTGCACAGGCCCAGCAATCCCACCTTATGCCAGAGAGGGTTGTCCAAACCCTCCTGGAGCTCTGGCAGCCTTGGGGCTGTGCCCACTGCCCTGGGGAGCCTGTTTGGTGCCCAACTACCCTCTGGGGGAAGAATCTTTTCCTGAGATCCAACCTGACCCTGCCCTGGCACAGCTCTAGCTGTTCCCTCAGGTCCTGCATGGAGTGGTTTCTTCTTCTGTTAGCTGGAACTCGCTGACACTTCGTGGAGATGCCAATGCCTATATGGATGCCTCCTTTTTGAGTCCTGGCAGCTGGGGAGGCAACCAGAGCCACTTCTCCTGGTGCTACCGCACTCTGCTGACATCACCTTTATGTCTCCCAAAAGCTGATCCCTACCTAGCACCATCCTGGTTGGGAAGAGCTGTTAACTGGGATAGAAGGAGCAGCATGGCTCTGGGGGAGTCATTGACAGTTTTATCCTCCTGGTATCCCAGAGAGGTGATCAGCCCTCCTGGAGATGGACTCTGCTTCCTCCTCTCCAGGGCAGGCACTGGGATATTGTCAGGAAAGCCCCACATGTTTGAGAATGTCTCATCTCTGAACAAATTGTTCCTGTAACTGTTCCTGTGTAGCGTCACAGCAAGTTTGACCACACTGTGGTTCCAAGGATGCTCTGCTCACGGCAGCTCTCCAGCAGATATTCCACCCACAGGACAGTCCCTCCATGCAGCTCTCACTGCTCCAGGTCCAACAGCACCATTTGGATGTTGGCAGGAAATGCCGAGGTTGGAAAGAGCCAACAAAAGAATCATGTCGTCACGGAGACATGTGGATGGAGGCAGGCACGTCACTGGAGACCACCAGGCTCTGACAGTTTTCACTTTGGGAAGCATCCCCTCTTCACCTTCTGAGG